TTTTTTTTTTTTTTTTTTTTGCTTTTGTTTCTTTGTTCATCTGTTTCCTCCTAAGTAATGCTGGCTATTAACTCATACAGGAGGACTTTTTTTTTTGAATAGGAAACTTTGTTCTTAGAAACAGAAGCTAATAAGGGAGTTTTAAAGGAATATTCAAAACTGCTTTTATTTCAGCTCTTGCTATATGTAATTTGATATCCTTAGACTAAATCTTATCTTGTACACTGAATGAACATTATTTGTGGAAATTTGTTACAGCTCCCCTAATATTGCCAAAAAGTTTCACATAGGACACTTGCGGTCCACGATAATAGGTAAGTAAGTGTTTAACTGTGACTTAAAGAGGCTCTTTCTGTCCTGGTGTTCAGGTTGTTGGGGGAATACTGCTGACTTTTCCTTCTCCCAGTGCAAGGGCCATGTCAGGCTCAACTTACTATTTAAACAGTGCAGGAAAGATTATCAATTTTTCCTGGTAGAGTTATTAAGTCACAGGTATAGCTTTATGACTGAAGCATTAAATGAAGCAGTTTTAAGTTGTTCTACAAAGACACCCAGGGCACTTTGCACTGAGGTGTTCTGAGAGCCCATTGAATTTTAAATTTCTAGTATGCACCAGACTGCAGAGCAGTTGTTAACATTTTAGCAGTTGTCTTGTGAGAAGTTTGCTTTTATACTGCAAGTTCTTTATGCCCATACTCCTAACATGGGGACTATAATCTCTAACGGAATAATTAATTTATTGTTCAACACTCTAATGGCATGTGGAAATCATTAGTTCTCCCTTCTCTCTGAACTTTCCATCTTTCATTATAAAAAAATTAGTAGATTACTGGCCGAAGATGCTAACAGCATCATGGAGTTAATATCATGAACAGAACGGGAAGTGACCACAAGCTATAATGCAGTATTGCAATAACAGAAGAAGAGAAAGTTTTCTGCACTTTTCTACCTCGCTATTATAATCCTGCAAAGCATAGGCAACATCCTTGAAACATAGGAAAACAGGAGAAGGAACATGGATATTTCTTCTCTGTACTTCTGCAATACAGCTAAACTGAAGACTGGGAGAGTTTTGCCATAATAAAAGTTCACACTGGGAAATGCTCTCGGGTCATAGTAAGTTTGGACCGTAGTGAGCGTGTGATGGGTTAGGGGCAGAGTTCAGTACTGCCCCAGCGTGGTACAGACATTCAGGACATAATGTTCTCTATTTACCTTCACAGGTAACACTAGTTTATGAATTTCGGTTGTTACTTAACCTCCTCGTATGAGGCTGCCTGACTAAAAGAGGAATAACGTATGCTGCCACATGTGAGGATATAGGGAAACTATAAAAAGTCATGTTTGCCACGCTCATATACGTTGCAGTGACATATGTGTCATATGCAAAGCTTTGTGTGTGTGAGATACTTTATAGCACTTTTGAAAAGCACAGCCCTTCTCCTGATGAAGAGGTTGTTACCTTTGGTTTTGAAGATTTCTAGCACATTCTGTGGAGTAATTGATCTGACTATATTCACAATGAAATGGGAGAGCCAAAGCAGATCAATCAAGAATAGAAACGCAGWCTGTTGGGATGAGAGAATGTCTACTGCTTTCTAAAATAATACTAATTTTGATTTCTTACCAGGAAATTTTATAGCAAATCTCAAAGTTGCGCTGGGACATCAAGTAACAAGAATCAATTACCTTGGCGACTGGGGCATGCAGTTTGGTATGTTTTCGTTTTGATTTCTTGTGCTTCCTTTTCTACTGAGAACATGGTCTGGGGTGTTGTGGTTTTTTTTTTTTTTTTTTTTTGTCTTTCCAGGAAACTCTGTTTTCTCTGGGCTCATAAAAAGTAATACTGTCTTTTCATGCACGTAGCATAGTTGGTCTTCTCAAAACATGATTAAAACATCCCATCCCATTAATCAGCAGTGTGAGCTATACTACCACGTAGTCGGGGGGGAGAAATTTCCTTAGCAGGCCCCTATTCTTCAGTAGGTCCTCTCTGTGATCTCCTGTGGGTTATCTGAGGTTTATTTATAAAGGGCAGTATAAGTGTTTCCTAAGAGTGGTACTTAGACCTGTGAAAATGTAGTAGTGAACAGGCTACTGCTGCTGCTTCTAGATAGAATGCTGGCCATAGGAGCTGCCTTCCTTATTCAGAGTTTGCATATGTAGCAATTAGGGAATAGTGCACTGGCTAGCCTGTGCCACACATAACGATGGAATAATTGTAAAGAACATGTACGTTTTTATTCTCTGCTTGGTTTCCCAACCATAGATTTAGTTTCTTAATGTCTATTGTTAGTTTTACATTTTAAGTTGACCCGTATCCCCCTCTTCATGTCTAATTTTGCCCCCAAATCTATTTTTGAAACACTTTGGCATTTAAAAAAATATTGTGCTCACTTGTACAGGACTTCAAAACTGCCTTATCTTTTTCTTTTTCAGTGAATTATGAAAACAGTGTCAATATATGTATTTTTAAATGGCAAACAAAGCTGAGTCTATGTCAAGCAACAACTTTTGCTTATTCCAGCCCTGGTGCTGCCCCCTTCAGTTGTGCTGATGTAGTTGCCTATGGGGATGCCAATGAATGAGCTTTGGGAACTGAGCTGGGTGAGAGAAAAAAAAAAAAAAAAAAAAAAAAAGCAGCAGAAATAGCCTCTTCTGCTCCACCTAAGTATTCAGATTCAGCAATAGATACAGTACAACTAAAATCGATACAGTATTACTCATTTTCCATTCTAAAGTAAATTCCTGCCCTTTAGACAGTTGAACATTTTTATGAGTGTGAAAGCAGCAGTGTTATTTTTTCCCTTTGTCAAATTATTTCCTCCTTCAGTCCCAATTCTGTTTCTCATCAAACACTAGTTTCTAGCACAACTTCATTCCACACAGGATTTGTTTCATAGGAATTGAATATAGGATGGTATTTTGCCTAAAATTAAATGAATATCGTCATATTCCATTCACTTATTTTTGTACAATAGACCTAGTTTTATCACATGATCTTGTGTAGAAAATGTGGTAAAAACAGTTAAGCAACAAAATACAATGTAATTAAAGGATTTTTCAGCTAGCCTCATCCACTCTGTCCTTGAAGATACGAAGCCATACTCATAGGTCTGAATATCAGGATTTTTTGTTTCCTAAAAGCACAGAGATGGCAAGGCATGTTACTTGCTCGTGAGTCTGTTATCCACAGCACAGTCTTTTGAACTCAAAGTTCTCACTGTTGCTTTCCAAATTGAAGCTCCCTGTTTATGTGTGCTGGCTCAGCTAAAATATCTGGCAGGTTTTATAACGAATAATATAGCACTGCTTCACAAAATTACAGCATAGGAATATTACTATAATAGTCCTTTCCCAGAAGCACCACTATAATTAATGATCTGTCAGCATTTCTATTACAGCTGCTATTGTCAAAGGCTTTAAAATMCAGTAATTGAAATTGTGGTCTCTTGAAACGTGGCAAAGATGTTCTCAGCCCTGCAGCAGGTTTGGGGCAGTTTTCTTAAGGTAACAGAGCTTACACAGCCATTCTGACTGTCCATCTGTCATTCTGTCAGCCTGCTTTAATAAATTTGTGTTTCTAATAAACCATTGGCAAAATTCAGACAGATTGGACTAATGGAAGTGCCTCCAAGAACAAATTTCTCTTAGTTTTGACATCCTTAGCAGCAGAGTAGGGACCAGCACAGAGGGAAGTGACTTGCGGGAGAGAAGGTCAACTTCTGTTTTTAACCTGCTAGCTAAGCAGTCAGCAAGGGTAAGTCAGAACTGGTCCCAGCACATGCTGTATCTTGCCACTAATTGATAACTGTAGGACTGGAAGTATTTTGTCAAGCAGAGAAACATATGGAAGGATGGATTTGGACTGAGGTCAAACTGGAAAAAATAAAGTATTGCAGGAGGTTGGAGCTTGGAGTGAGCCTTGGAAAGGGAGATGGTGAATCATTAGGAAATCTAGCTCTGGTTGCTGACACAAGAAATTACCCTTAGAGAAACTCTGTATGAATAAGATCAGAGTCATTTTATTTCCTAAATTCTAGTTTGTTTTTCTCATCTACGTTGACCAGGGATTTCTATCACACTCCTTTTCCAAGATGGAACAGATTGGTTCTTGGGACAGTGCCACTTGTTTAGCTGCAGAGGACTTTCCAAAGGGAGGATTAGCCATAGCTAATCCTCATATGCTGTCTTCACTTCAGTCCTGGACCTTGTCACCTCAGAGGAAAGAGATGGCCTTAAAAAAAGCCTCAACTAGTCAAAGAGGCTGTGGAGTTAGTATTAATAGACTACAGAATGGGTTAATGGGCTCCTTTCATTTAGAAAGTAAAGCTAGGATTGGGATTTCTTGCTCTTTCAGATGGCTTTTGTGAAGTGATGAAGCCAAATTAGATATATTTAAAATGCTGCACATGCTCAGCAAGTAGCAAAATGTTCCCTTGAAAATGTTGCACGAGTGGTATGTGGAATACCCTGTTCTAGCCCAGGTCCTGCTGTCTTTGAAATGGTAATTCCTAAGGGAGAGAGCAGAAGAGGGGACTTTGGGAGGGTGCTCTGTTGCTGGACAGTTCTGCTGTGTGTTTCCACGTTTACAGCTGATTGCTGTGTGAAAGGTTCCTGGACATGTCCAGCAACATGAATTCCAGCACTGAGGATGAAAGAAACTGGAAAATCAACATAGTATTTCGTACTACTTTCTAGCTATTACAGACTTTTTCATGCACTAGAATAATGTTATGCTTTTGATTTGTTTTCATGGCAGACACTATTACACTGCTTAAGTATGTAAGGCATTTGTTCTGTTGTGTACGGTGTTGGGACTTGCTTATGAAAACAACTTAATCATGAAAGAAAAACACTCTTGGCTATTGTCTAACTCTGCGTTTAATTGTTGTTTAAGGCTTACTGGGTGTTGGTTTCCAAAAGTTTGGCAACGAAGAAAAGCTAAAATCCAGTCCTTTACAACATCTTTTTGAGGTGAGTACAGAAAAAAAAAAATCTAAGGACTTAAGAGGACAGTGCATTGAACTTAGCTGTTAACTTTGTAGAGAATGCTGTGCCTGCAGGGTCATGGTTAGACACTCAAGTTAGATTTTAAGATAGGTTTAAAGACCAGTGATAAGCTGGGCCATGGCAGCAGAGACAGATTTCAGTGAGCTGGAAAAAGAGAAAGCCCCAAGAGGCAGGAAAGTCTCTGCTGGTTGCCTGTGTCTGCCCAGGCGGCTAGACCTGTGCTAGGGCATCAACTGCATGAGCTGGATGATCTTTAGCTTGACAGTCCACGTTGGCTATAACATGTGTACAGTAGGTTTTCAGAAGTGAGAACACAGCTATGACATTACCCGTACAAATCTAGCCACTGTGAAGGCAGATGGACAACACATTTGGCGTGACTGCTGTTCCAGCCCTCATCCTTGAAAAGAAAACATTTTGAATGTTGTAGGTTACAACCTACAACCTTGTTGCACGTTGTTGTGGGGCTCGATCAAGTCTTCTCTAGTACAAAGCCAAGCTGTGCTCTCTGAGCTGCTATGGGACCTGTTACTAATGGTGGCATTTGGATGCTAAGTGACAAATTAACTTTCATATAAATGCATTTATTGGCTCGGGAGCAGAGTGTGTTTGAACGCTCAGATGTGCTACAGTTAAATATGTATTAAGCAGGTTGTTCATATGACAGGGCAGCTACTTTTGAGTCTGTCAGCTTCTTTGACATAGGTTCATTTGTTTGCTTGCTCCATCATTCTGGAGGCCTCCCCAAGGAAATGACAGAGTCACAGTTTAGAGTTGTTTAGAGCTGTGGGACTCTCAGCTGTAGGATTTCAAATAATAACAGGAAGTTACATTTTCTTTTTTTACACTTATATCTTTTTCCCCCTCGGTTTGTTCTCCAAGTGGTTTGGTATGTGGGTTGTATTCATGTGGTTATGCATTACTGCATATTATTTATTTTTTACATATAATTTCAGTCTGTTCTTATGATTGATTATGATGATGTTCTTATGATCTTGAATTCTGTGCTAACACTTTCAAACATCATCTGTCTCAATATCTTTTAGGTTTGTGAAGTAAAGAAAAAAAAAAAAACCCTTCAGATTTAGAGAGTAGTATTTAGCCTAGCTGTTACACATTCTAACATGTAGATTGAGAATAAAGAAGAGTTTCTTATATGTTCCCAGTTTTTAACAATCTCTATAAAAACTTTGCCATGGGATTTTTCTCATTAAACTACAGGAGGGATTAGTTTCACACAACAGCAGAAGGGCACTGCTTTGGAATTCATGGCAGCATTTGATATTAATCAGGAACAGAATTGAGCAAATAGTGAACATTTTGGCATATGTAATCTATCATTGAATACGCTTTTCTGATCAGCTTTGCACCATCCATACCAGTCAGGAGTCGGGTGCAAGTTTGTCTTGCAAGTTTTGTGCAAGGTGCACAAGTTTTGTGCAAGGTGCAAGTTTCACTCTGTAAAAATAAGGATTGGGGAAGGAGATGTTAAAGTATGTGAAGGTGACATTTGAAGGACAGGGAGATTTTTTTCTTGGGAAGAGCTGATTCTTTCCTGTACTTCAAATTTCTTTTCATGGCAGAACTAAACAAACATTTGATCTTGGAGGCTTGTCACCAGTACTGTCTGTTAAGCTCCATCTCTGAAAGTCTTGGGATGCAAAAGGAAGGGAAGAGTTTAAGAGCTAAAAGATGTGGGAACGTTTTTTTAGGCTGAACCCACTAGAGCTGGTGTTTGTTGTTCTCTAACTCATTGTTTGAACCTTGCAGGAAGTTTTTATTTTCTGTTAAGGTTGTAATGATTTGAGGACCAAAGCTCTCTTACAAAGACTTAAAAGTTATTTAGTGTTGAACTATTTGGGTCTAAATACCTAGTGTAAACACTCATTCTTTTTACATAGTCTTCTAAGTTTAAAAATCCTTTCTGTGGACTTTCAGAATGCTACGTCTGAAAAGAAAGGAATCACAGGCTGGGCAAACATTTGTCTTTCTAGGGTATGAAAGAATTTGTTAATGAACAGGAGAGCCAAATTCAATGTACACATGTAGAGTCGGATGATAGAATTGTTTGTAATGCTTCTGGCAGGTTCATGACAATTAACCTGTGAGGTTTTTAGTCATAGGCTGGTATTCACGTGCCTGACTCCAACCATACCCAGGCAGCCAGTAGTATCAGGAGTGCCGACTAGCACGAGGAAGTGGCTTTTGCATCAGAACTGTTTTTTGGAACTTGTGCAAAGCTGGATCCATCTAGGTTCTTGGTGCTTCATTTGCAGCCTATTTTTAGACTGTGCACAGTTCAATATACCACCGTTATGGTCCTGTGAATATGCTTTAAAACTCTGTGACAGTGTTCAGTCTGTGCATAAATTTGTTCTATGTTCTGTTGCTGCACTTTTTTTATTCGTGATTAAGACGAGGATGACAGCAACACTAGTAAGAAATTATCGCCTTACTGTCGTCTTTCCGGATAAGCTGCACATTTTCATATTGGAGTTTGAACTATTCATTTCTTCTTTAGATAGGATACATTCTCCTTTAAACAGCTTTACATTTTTAGTGTTCAAAATGTCATCTTTAAACCTATTTGTATTGTTCTTGTAGAACTTGTTCTGCTTATTTTTATTTGTGGAGAGGTTTATACTTCTGCAACATCTTGGTGCCATTATATTTTAGGTGTATGTGCAGATTAATAAAGCAGCAGAAGATGAAAACATAAAAAAGCTGGCCAAGGATTTCTTTAGAAAGCTGGAAGAACATGATGAGCAGACATTGTCCCTTTGGAAACAGTTCAGAAGCTACAGTATTGAAGAATACATTCGGATTTATAAGGTGCAAATCTTCCACTGTGGTTTTTTTCTTTCTATATTGTTGTTTTCTGTGTGTTGCTCCATCAGTGAACCTGGTGGCCACTGCGTAGCCATAGCAGAGAGTAGAGCAGAAGCTGCTCTACTGTCGTCAGTTCATTGTCTTTACAGTAAATTCACGATCTTGTGGAGGAAATATTTCCAAATATGCCAGCTCACGGCCCTGCTTGGGAAAGGCTGCTAGTTTGGTTAACAGCCAAGCATAGAATCCCCTTAGTTGCTAAGAAGCTAGACCCCTTTTATTTAAAGGAGTCCATCTAATTGGCCATTTGAGTAACTCTCCATTTTCTAAATCCCTGAAGCTGAGAGTCTGGTGCTAAGCAACAACGGGAATCAATGTCAGATAAATATCACTTGCTCTGTGTTATGTTTGAGGCTGGCAGCAACCCACTAAATTTAGCAGTTTCTGTGTTATAAATTTTATTGGGAGATAACTCCGTTTTCGCATTTCTGATCTACTGTTATAATGCAGAGCTGTGTATGTAGCACATCAAATTGGGTGTAAGGAATTACAGCAACTGGAATTTATAGTAGTACTCGGTGCATAAGTTCCCTGCATGAGAGTACAGCTACTGCACAGCCATCTGTCGGGTGCCCTAATCTCACGAGTGCAGCTGTGCACTGATGCCTTCGTGGGAGAGGCTTGTGCTACCAGCCACACAGTGAGGGCTGTGATTTGGGAAACGGGGCTGCTGTGCCCCTTCTGCCATTGAAACCAGTCTGCTGGTGTTAATGCTGTAACAATTTTGAAGGATTTACACATTTTTTAGACTTTTTTTCTAATTTCCAACTTCTAATATAACTAATTTTATACCACTTAATTCTGGTCGCATTATTCTTCAAACAGCATTTCCCTATCTCCCTCCATGTTACGGTTTAGAGAAAGTGGTCTTGTCTTCTTTCATTCCTGTTTTGTGAGGTTAAATGGAAGTGGTCTCCCTCATTTCAGTAATCCTAGTAGCCTGGCTGTGTTCTCATTTCTTTCCTGAAACGTAGCACTGAATTTGTGCCAAGTGCTTCAGGTTAGAGTGATGTTAATGTTCTCTTAAGTGAGACACATTCTTGATAATTCTAGCAGAAACCAGACCTCTTATGGTAAGTATTGGGCTCTATGTGCAGCCAGATTGCTCCCAGTTTTTTTTCCAACTAATAAGTATCTTGCTGGTGGCCTGCCAGTTCTCTCAGTTTTCTTCTTCTCCGTTAAAAATACTATCCATTTTACCATTGCATTTCACCATGTTTCAACAGTTAAGGTTAACCCGTCACTGGTATATGTACACTCAGCCCTCTAGTAATGGTGAGTTCTGTGCTGAACAAAGCTTATGATTAGATTTTTCTTTTTTTTTTTTTTAATTTTAGTATCATTTTGAAATAGGACTCATTTCCAGGGCAAAAACTTTCTCTGCAGCTCACTGGTTACACCTGCAGCACAGCCTACTCTTTGCTTTCTGCCTTTCAGCCAGCTAATTAACTACCTCAGGACTTTTGTACTGAGCGCTGTTCTCAGTTTACTCCTGTTTTCTTGTGTAACATTATATTTGATGGTATATTCAGGAGATGAATTGTAACACTAAGGCAAATTAAAAAAACCAAATATCCTTTCTTTTAACAACACAGTAACGTTTCCTGGGATAAAATCCCTTTGCTCTCTACCTGACTTCTGACACAAACCTGTCAGCACACTTAACTTGAAGAAATGATTAGCCTTGATCTAAGAATATTTGTCCTCTCTGATTCTCTTTCAGCGGCTAGGGGTGCACTTTGATGAGTATTCYGGAGAATCATTTTACCAAAAGAAGTCTCAGGAAGTTCTGAAGATGTTGGAGGAAAAAGGACTTCTTCAGAAAACAGCGTATGACCTTTTTTTGGCTTTTGTGGTTGTGTGGTTTTCTTGCGGCCAGCACAGGAGCCGGGCAGTGCCAGATGGAGTTCAGTGGTAGTGGTCGGCTCCTAATTGCCTGGTAAGCTGTTGATTAGTTTGGGAGCTGCCTGTGCCATTTCACAGTCACAAATGAGGTCTTTGCCTTGATGAGCTGCCTGTCTTAACAGGGACAGAAGCTCTGCTCATAGAGCGCACTAGGATGTGAGCAGGCAGCTCCCTGACATCAGCAGAACTAATGGAAAACCAGGAATGGTTTTCAGAAAGACTTAAAGGAGATAGTCATTCAAGAACAGAGGGTGATTRCCCAGGGTTGCTGAGTGACAGGTCTGTTGTTTTGATCTTCATCGTCCCAGAATTGCCTGTATTCCAGATGTGGTGTGCAGTCACCTCAGTGTTTCCTGTCAAATTACAGGAAGGGGACAGGAATTGTGGATCTCTCGGAAAAGAAGGACCTTTCATTGTTTTCCACTGTCATGCGTAGCGATGGGACATCTCTGTATATAACAAGGTCAGTAAGTCCCTTTTTGCTTATTGGGGTTTATTTTGTTAGTAAACTTCTGCACAAGTAACTGATGGTGCGGATTTTGAAGCGTTTTATTTCTGGGTTGGGACCCAGAAGTCCCAACTAGTCACCTTGACTAGTGAGGAGTTTTAAGTGAAGCTGGCAATGTAGCTATGGCAGGGCTTGTRAGTGACTGGCCCTCAGACTTGCATGCACATGTGCACACACAGGAGAGAATTCCTGGGTCCCTCTCTGTCCTCTTACGGAGAAGAGAGAACTGCCAGACTAATGTTCCCAGGCAGCAAATAATGAGATGCTTAGTTTAAAGTCCAAACAGTCTCTCATTATCTCTTTCAGAGATCTTGCTGCTGCTATAGATCGAATGAACAAACATGACTGTGATATTATGATATACGTGGTAAGTAGATCTAGATTCACTAAACATTGAGCCTGACTTTTCCAGTAATCCAGGGGGCTCTTGTTCCCTGTATGACTTTGGCACATGGTGTTTTCGGGACTTTAATAAACTGTACAGCAGATGTGCCTTAAAGTGGCAGTGTTTCTTRATTCTCCCTCAGTTTGTGACCCACAAATGGTTGAAAAATCATCTCTGGAGTCATTCTGTGTTCTTGCATTCTGTCATTCACTTGAAAACTCATGCAGTTTGTTTTAGAAGAACTTATACTCATCTGACATTGAATTTTCTGTATAAYGTAATTAATATTTAACTGAGTTAGAAAAAAAGTGTTAGCTTTTAAGGAAATACAAAATGTTAGAAATTAATGTTCTAAAATGACTCTTAAGAATASGTTAGAGTGCTGATGTTATCAATAGTGTAGATGTTTATAGTTTCATTAACTAGGACTTGTACATAAAGTCATGTCACCATTCCAGGCAAAGCAGAGGCAAACAGGGAATCTGTCTGTTGTTTTTTAACAATTCCAACCATATCGACAGTGACAACTGGTTTCCACATGTGTTTCTAGAACACAAGTGTGTCTTTTTTTCTTATTTTTTATTTTTTGGTCTCTCCTGACTGCAAGATCCTCTTTCACTAGCATCAGAGAGCAGCGTAGCTCTGGAAGTGCATTAGCAGCTAAGAAAGCTTCTCATCTAGTTCATGTGTGTAGGTAGTTATCTCTGTTTTATCGTGCCATGAGGTACCCAGGACCAAGGAAGAAGAAGAAATTGGAAAGAAAGAAAATAACCAGGCATTTTGTCTAAGGTAGGAGGTGGGCTAAATGTTGGGCTGATAGAAAGAGCAAGTGTGGAAACAGGGGTCTTAAGTTAGCTGGATGAACTGGAACGTTCTCTTCCTTCTGTGCACCTCTTAGGTCTACTGGTCCACATAAAATACACAGCAAAACTACCCTGGCATGTGATTTATGGATGTGACATGGATTATAATGGCCACAAGTTGGTGGCCCTAGTCCTGTTCCCCAAACGTGCTAAGTTTTGGGATAACGTGGTCAGTGCTTCTGCCATTCTCAACGTGGCGGGAGCCAATAAAGTGGGTGACAAAAGGAGAGCGAGAGACAGGGTGCCGGGAATGGGACTGGGCCTCGCTGCTGCAGGGTGCAGGGCTTTCAGTGCTCTGGGATTCACCTGAATGCTGCACTGCACACACAAACTGGAAGCTCTTTTTTAGACATTTAAGTATAATTTCCACTGCCAGTCTGCCATCTGCTCCTGTAAAGGTAACCCCTCAGTCTGCATATTTGGATAGGTACGGAAAACAGGGATATTCATCATACGAAACTTTCTTTGTGTTTTTTTTGTTGTGCTTTAAAGCTGTGCRAAAATGGTGTTATATGAAACGGTAGTGTCTTCAAATTCACAAATTCATCCTTTTGTTTTTTTCCTACTTACACATCCACTTTTTGAGCATTACTTTTAGGCAGAGATGAAGCTGTGTGGCACTACTGTGCTTTTCCAGCCTTCTTAGCAATTGTGGATTTCATGCAGTTTTAACTTCCACTATAAATAACACCCATTGTTGCTGCCRGTGGTATCACACAATACCCAAAATGGGCCCTGATGCTTAGTTTTCAGGTGGCCATTTGAAACCTGGAATTTAGCTTGTACTGCCTGATAGGTATTTCCACTTTGGCCTTGGGTTTAACATCCTTATTTCCTTGAGAATTTACAGCATTCTAAAAATTACCCACTATGCTATTTTTAATATAGTTATTAATATTCTAGATGTTCTTCTGTATGCTATTCCTATGTACACTGTTCAGACAGGCAATTACAGAGTGAAGTCAGCTTTTGGTTTAGTTGTAGCTGCAAACTCTGCCCTGTGAACAGTCACGGGGAAGTAATAAAGCCTTTGAAGGACTGGAGTCTTTTGCGAGAAGGTACGTGGTGATTCTTCTCACCGTCTGCTCACAGAACTAGAGGAAACTGCCACAAACTGAGGCACCAGAAGTTCCATAGGAACTTAAGGAAAAATTTCTTAACAGTGAGGGTGCCAGAGCCCTGGCACAGGCTGCCCAGGGAGGCTGTGGAGTCTCCTTCTCTGGAGATCTTCCAAACCCGCCTGGATGCYGCCCTGTGCCCCGTGCTCTGGGTGTCCCTGCTGGAGCAGGGGGTGGGACTGGATGRTCTCTAGAGGTCCCTTCCAAGCTTAAGGATTCTGTGTTTCTCGGGCTCCAGTTGTGCACGAGCTCCTGAACGCTGTGCTCGCAGTGCAGCGTGTGCTGCGGGAGGTGCTGGGCACATGCAGCACAAAAGCAGTTGCTGTCGCAGCATCTACAGTCTCTCCTACAACCTGGGAGAAAAGTTAAGTCCAGACATGGCAGGGAGCAGAGAGAGCAGCCAGCACTGGCCACTGCAACGAGCTGGCCTTAACCTAAATTTCATGAAGTTTATTGTTAGATATTTTAGCAGAAGAGAGCTGGCTTTGCAATGGGTACAGAAAGTTTCTTACACATATTGAGGTACCTGGAAGAGTGCTTGGGAGGACTCATTTGAATCACTGGCAACTGAGATTCATTTATGAGCCTTGTTTGTGGATCTGCTGTATTGGTGATAGACTATAGATAAAGAGTTTCAGTCTGTAAGCCAAAGGAAGCTCCTGAGGTTTGATCTGTAAAACATGGGACCATATCAAGAGCAACAAGGCTCTGAAGTGAAAATGGAGGCATCTTTCTGAAGGGCAGCTGACAGATTATGTGAAACTAAAGAACATCAAAGTTTCATTTCCAGTTATGGCTTTGCATTTAGGACCTAGGAATATTCAATTTCAAAGAGGGAATTGCTTTTTCTGAAAAGATGCAGAAATCTGTTTTCAAGTATTTCAATATTCTAAACATTTTCAAATATTTTTCAGGTCTTGTCTGCTTTCATAGGTCCTAGTTCTCCTTGCAAGGCCATAATGACAGCGCGTCCGTGGTGTTGTTTGCAGGTTAAAAGCTGAAACTTGTCTAACTTGGACTGTCTTCTAATATGCATCAATTCTATTCTTCAGACAGATAAAAGTCAAAGTAATCACTTTCAACATTTGTTCCAAATACTGAAGCTAATGGGTTATGACTGGGCAGAAAGGTAGGTATTTATGGGGTTAATTATATACTGCTTAGTGGGTTACAATGGGTGCATGAACACGAGCRTTTTAGCTGAAGATGCTTTTGAAGAGATTCTCACGTCGTCTCCACCTTCTGTGCTGTAGCACATCACACAGGCGTCGCAGAGTGTGTGTCCTTGCTGGCAAATGGAGACTTCCCTCTGCTTTTAGGAGAAGGGAAAATAAGAATAGCCCTGTCAGTCACTTAATGGGCCTTTCGTGGCTTCTTGCTGTAAAAGTGGGGACAAAGGAAAACAGCTTTTCAGGTGCTGTGGCATTTAGCCTTCAGGGTGATGGGCGTTCATATAGCAGAAAAAAGCTTTGCAGTACATTTTCTCCAAGACCTGAATTCCTCATGCCTCAACCTTGAAATGTCTGGCAGGGTTAAGTGTCCCCGCTGCTGCTCACTGTAATTACCAGCCTTCTTGGCAACCTGAGCAAAGGTCAGCAKTGGATCTGGAGACTGAATCATTCTCCTTTCTCAGAGAGACCGCGTGTCTTTTGTGGTTCAAGATTTTAGCTTTCAGGAATATTAGTCTGCCTGCTTCCCCTGTCCTTAGCGTTGCACTAAAATCACCTTAGGTTGAGGGTCCAGACTAGTGCTTGAGATTATTGTGAGCAAAACCAGTGAGTGTTTTATTAGTAGTAGTGATTAATTACACTTTTAGTTTAATTGTAGCCGCAGTAAAATGGTTATGACTCTTTCTGATGCCAAGAGATTTGTGTTGCCACATGAATCTGATCCGCCTGCATCTTGCCTCTCCTCAGTCTATTGCTTTGAGTGCTCTGCATTAAAGCTAGTAGCAAGAGAGGTTCCCAAGAGCACAGAGCTGACCAGGTGACCATAATTCTGCTCAGAACTTTCCCATTCTGTGAGACACGTGGAGCTTTGGTTGCTGCAATGGGAGTTGCTGATTATATCACCAAGCTTCCCACGCCGGAGCACTGTTTATTCAGCTCTTACTGCTGTTTCTTGGTTGAAATCCAGCTCTGAACAAACACTGCACACCTTTCTATGGATTAAGGTGTAATTTGAGTTCCTGCTGCTTTTCCACACAGGTGTCAGCACGTGGCGTTCGGGTTAGTTCAAGGAATGAAGACTCGGAGAGGAGAAGTTATTTTCCTGGAAGATGTTTTAGACGAAGCTCGCTCGCGGATCCTGCAGAACATGGCCTCTGCAAAAAGTTAGCTCATTCACATCCTACATTCACATCCTGATGTTCTGTGATGGTCAAAGCCCTGTTGTCTTTTCTGCTGTTCACTCTCCCCCTACTCAGACTAATCAGTGATGCACTCTCATCTTTGCAATTTCTCCATCTCAGATTTTATGTATGGTAAAATGTATATGTAACCTAGCCAGTAGTGGAGTTGGGACTGAGTTTGGGGACCTGGGAAGCTTTCTGCCAAGGCACCAGCAGCTCTGACACACTTCTCTGGCAAGATGAACTTGTCTGACGTGGGGACAAGCAGCTTGCCTGYGACTCGGGTGTCTTTCCGTTCTCCCAGCCTGTCCCCTGCGTCCCCAACAGGTGACTTCCCTGCAGCAGCATCTGCACAGGGGATGTTTGTCTGCACTCCAGGCTGCGGCCCTGGAGCTGCTTCCTCTTGCAGCAAAGCTGGTTTAAGCAGCTCCTGGTGCAGTGCTGCCCGCTCCTGCGCTGGGCTGAAATGGGGAACTGCCGGGGTTAAGGGATGCCCACGTTCCCCACTCTGTATCTTCAGCAGCTTAAATCCAGAGAACTTTGCTTGCGGATTGAGCAAGGAGAGGGAGGGAGGCAGAATGACAGAAGGGTGACCCGCTGTGCAAGGCAGCATTCCTGCAGAGAGGGAAGGAGCTAAAGCTGCAGCTAACAGCTCGGTTTCGTAGCTGAACTCGGAGGCACCTTGTTTTTGTGCCACCCTGAACTGCCGTGCACGAGCAGTGAGCAGGGGATCGGCCAAAGGAAGCGGTGAGTCCTGCAGCGTTCCCCAGGGTTTGTCCATTAGGCCCTAAACCATACCCGTGCTCGTGAGAGCTTCCCCTTGGGCTTGAATTCCTGCCTTGCTTCCCCTTCCCTAAAGCAGAAATCCCAAGTGCCTGATTCACAGTGTTGTCTTCACTGTTGGCAACGTGTCAGATACTCAGTGGAAGATACTATAAATATGTGTGACCCCGAGATGCCTCGGTGCCATTGAGAGGCCTTGGGAGCTGAATGTCTAACACCAATGCGGGCTTTAAAAGTCATGCCTCTGTGTAGCTGGTTAGGCAAATATCATTGCTTAAACTCTGCCTTTGCTATTGCTATTAGATGTGCACAGTTCTGCTATTGAAGTTTCCATTACTGGCATTCTTTCTTTCTTTTTAAACTCACTTTAATGAGCCCTGCTGTCCACATAAGCCCTCTCTGTAATGTCCCCTCTTTGCTCCTTTTTTTGTGGATACTTGCGTCTACGTCCCGTCTAGCATCTCATCTAACAGTGCCCCCAGAAAGGAGTTTCTTTGACACAGTGGCACAGTGTTTTTAAATCTTAAACCCACTGCTGACTCCGTTACGCAAAATGTTAGTTTCCATCTTTAAGAACAAAAACAGCAGCAACAAAAAAAGGCAGCTGTTTTGTTTGTCTTGAAATAAGTGTCTGTTATGAAACATAATGTAATGTAAGCATATTTGTGTAAATGAGTAGACAACCTCAGACTTCTCAGGGCTGTAAGCTGTCCCTGCACATTTCAGTCTTAGTCTTTTCTGTATCTTGTATCAAAGAAATGGTACAAACGCTTCAAAATTGTCTCCACTGGTTTTGCAGACCTGGCTTGAAGAAATAGCTGGGCAAAAGGCAGGGATCTGCATGTATTAAACTGTACTGCAAAGTTGTCTCCACCTAAATCACACCTTAAGGTGACAGCTCCATTCTCCATCTGCTGTTACAGAAAGATCAGCTGGGGCAGCAAATTGTAGGCTGAACTCTGCAAGTTTAACTCGCAGACCACAATTACAAACTACGCTGTGGGCCCTGCCAAGGCTGAGCTGGTTGCCTTACAGAGGCAGATAGGGAGCCTTGTTCCTCTCCAGAAAACTCGAGTAGGAAGTTGAGGAGAGCCTGGCAGAGAGGGCTGGGATCCAAGCATAAAAACAGGAATCATCAGACAGGGTCACAGTGTTCCCAAACAAGCGATGGATTTCTGTGAGGATCCAACATCCCAAGTGCTGTCGGTGCAGGCAGATTTACTGAACTGGTGGTGAGCTCTCGTGCCAGCTTGGCCCTGGGAGAGGGGCAGTGAGCCCAGCGATGTTCCCTGTGCACCAGCGTGCTGCTTGTCTTCCCAAGGATGGCCACGAGTTGTGGACAAGCTGGGGATCGCTCTGCAGAGGAGCCTCTGCAGCTGTTGGGAGGGTCTCTCCTGGCTGCTTYGGAATCATTAGCTGTGGTAGTGACRGACTTMATGTTTCATTAGAAAAGCTTTGGAAGGCTCTTGCCGTGTCTATACCTGACAGAAGAAGCGTTGTCATCTAAGAAATAGTAACGTGTAGTGAAAGAAGGTAAAGTTAGGGGCACTCAGTGCTCAAATAAAGGCAATAGTCACCCAGTCTTAATTTTAGCCTTTAGACTTATGTCTTCAGCTGGCCTTTGCTCAGCTGAGCTGTGCGTAAAACTAACTTCCTCCCTTGGCTCAGCAGAGAAATCCATCCCCTCCGTGGTGGCTCTGAGGCTGCAGCCAGTTTGGATCCTCCGCAGGTGCTGGATGTGCTCCCTAAGAGCACTGCGGAGCAGGAGTTATTAGCTGCTGCAACATTTTCTTCTTCTTTTTTTCTTGGATTGTTTAGGTCTCTCTATCACTTGGAGCTTTTAAATGAAAACTCAGTTCTGTTCTCRCTTGCTTCCTGGTGTTCAAGATTGGCTGGCTGAATCATGAGAAGGAAGTTAGTGTAATCTAGGCTGTTCCAATGGACTCTTCTCACTGTAAAATMTGTATCACAATTACTAAGGGAAGGAGGAGAAAAAAAAAAGCTATAATATTAGCTTCCAAGGAAGATTTATATCCTGGACTTCTTGCTGGGTGTGTCCTGACCATTTCTGTGCTGCTAGTTAACAGTTTTGCAAGATCTCCTGTTTCATTGTCATCTCCAGGTCCGAGTGAGGGAGCTGTACTATTACAGACCAGAAATTCTGTTTTTCTTTCTATTCAGCGACCAAAGAGGTAGAAAACCCTGTGGAAACAGCAGAGAAGATTGGTCTTGCAGCACTAATAATCCAGGTGAGTCTGAGCTGCTTCTGGGGACGGTAGCATCTTTTGTGAGAATTTGCACGTTTGGAGCCGTATCTGGGTGACRCTGATTTGAGTTCCTGTTCCAGGACTTCCAGGGCCTCCTGTCGTCTGATTACCAGTTTAGTTGGGATCGAGCTCTTCAGAGCCGGGGGGATACAGGCGTGTTCCTGCAGTACACACATGCCAGGCTCCACAGGTAGGAGGAATATTACTGTGTACAGAATGGGTGTCAAACAGTGCACTTGGCTTCACTGACTTATTACTGGAAGAACAGATTCTTCTCTARCTACAATATTCGCATTCTCAGCTGATTTGTGAGCTCACAATAGGGAGTCATGAGACTTCATGGAAGAGTAAGCCAGTTTTAAAATGAAATTTCTACCTCATCTCTGTAGGGCTGAGCTAAGCTGACCCTCTGCTTTATAGAGGCAGCTTCTGAGTGTGATTGGTGTCAGAGATGAAGAATTCTGGCCCTAGGACTTGAGAATCAATGATTCAAAAATCAGTATGCCTAAATTTGCAAAATATACCAAGTTAGAGGGCTCGGGTGGTTTTGGTTGCCACTGTAGCTGGTGCTATCTGTCACACGGTTGGTTATTTCCTGCTGATGCTAACCCAAGGTTAAAGGTAGAAGCCTTCTTGTTGGGCTGGATCAAACTTCTGACAGGTGTGACAGCTCTTGGACCAAACCAGAGGTCCATTCAAGCCTGTCCAAGACAGTGATAATAAAAGATGCTATTTAGTGGGAAAGCCCCATCCCCTTCTGCAGTCTGTTCCTCTTGCACTCCCTAGTGTGTACAGCTCCTGTCGCAGGGAGGGTGGGTACCTGGAGCCTCTGCACCATGCACATGTCYGAGCTTTTAAACTTCTGGAAACAGAAGGTCTAGCTCCAATTTTAAAAGACATTTTTTGTGTTGGACTGAAATCAGCTAGCCTGTCTCAGATGCTTTATTTAGGTTGAACAAAAGATCCCAATGCTTTCTTTTTAAAATACAAGTTATTGTTACTCGTCCAGGATCTGTTTTTGATTCCTATGCTTTCTAGTTTAGAGCAGCTGCATGGGAAGGGGCAGCTGACTGATGTCAATGTGGCATCCTTGCAAGAGCCAGAGGCCATCTCAGTTCTTCAGCATCTTCTCAGGTTTGTCTGATTTCCTTTCTGAATACCAGTGAAGTCTATTTGAAGAGGCTGCTGCCAGCAGGCACGGACTGCGCTGCCGCAGGAGAGCGGCGGTGCTTGGGCAACGGCCTGTCCCTTGCACCGTGTTGAGAGTGGCAGTAGCCCTCCCTTGAGAAATGTGCATTATGTCTGTAACTGTAGACTTTAGAGTGGGGAAAAACAATWTTTTGCCGATCCTGTGTGTAACTGAGTCTCTTATTTTGGTGAAGGCAAGAAATACTTATCCTAAACCCTCATTAAATATTAGCAGTAGATTCTCTTGTTCTAGTTTGCTCATGTGGAAAAGAGGTGAGGGGGGCTCCTGAGTGAGGTGAAATGGAACAAGCAGAAAATACCTGATAAGAGCAGTAATGTTCTTCWTTAACTCAATCTTCAGGCTGAGTGGCTGCAGTTTTCACTGTTTCACAGGTGTGACATTAAAGTATGGAGACTAGGAGAGCTGTCCATGCCCCACAGGCCGTGTTGGGGTTGGGAATAATTGAGGCTTTCAGCATTCCTAAGAAAAGTCTTGGCTGCTTTGCAAAACCCTCCGCACTGCCCAAGGCTCCTTGGGCAAGACTTTCTTGAGGGCACCCTCCTAAAATTTGGACCTCCAGAGTCGTTGCTTGTGGCGGAGCCTTTCAAGCAGAGGCTCCTGCTCACTAACTGCAGCCCGCTGAATCGCATGTATGTCCGTGCAGAAAGGGACACTGTTCACTGATAAATAACACTATTTATCACTAATGTGAAGGGTGCCCTTCAATTGCTGCGAGCTTAGCTGTTTAATACTGACTTAATGCCTGTGTTTTGCTCTGTGGAACTTAGAACTGGTGTTGAAATGTAAGACCAGACCTAGTTTTCCAGGATCAGCTACAGCTTTTGTGCTTTCTTTGCCATAGCCACGCGCCCCGGYGTTGCCTACACAGGTGCTGGGGTTAGCCACAACCCTCCTGCCCCAACAGGCGAGGCGGGGAGGAGGYGGAGGGGGCTGGGTGCTCGCTGCAGGGCTTCGGCCTCGTGACCRCCCTTTGCTCCCGCCAGGTACGACGAGGTCCTGTACCGGTCATCCCAGGAGCTGCAACCCAGGCACCTGGTCAGCTACCTCCTCACGCTGAGGTAGGGGCCCGCGGCACCTCGCGGCGAGCGCGGCCTGACCGCGGCGGAGCTCCAGTGGTGCTGCGAGGAGGTGGGCATGCATGGAGCAGCAGAGCAAATAGCATTATAAATAGGAGGCATCAAGCTGGGAGCCCAGGAACAAAGGAGGCCGGAGCCTCCTCACAAACTCATTGCTCCCCAGCCAAAATAATCTCTTGGTTGTCACCCAGCGCCCGGCCCTGAAGYGGCGCAGAACTACCGTGTCCCACGGAGCAGCTCTGCACCGCAGCCGGGAGGTTGTGTCCAGCCCTTGCACACGCATGCTGAGGGACAAAGCAGGCTGGGCAGGTGACCTCCGCAGGGAGCTCTCCCCACGGGGCACACTGCCCATCTCACCAGGACGGTGAGAYGCTGGAGGGGACTTGCTGGAGGCAGCTGTAGAGGAAGCCTTTAGGAAGGTGGGGAGGGCAGGGTAAGGAGGCAGGCGTGTGCGGAGCGCTTGGCCGCTCCTGGACAGGGACCAGGACGGGGACAGGGACTCGCCTCTTCTCACTGCGCTCTCTCCTTCCAGCCACGTGGCCGCTGCCGCCCACCGAGCCCTCCCTGTGAGAGGCAGCGCCCCAGCCCTAGCCCAGGTAGGTGCAGCCCTGCCACCCTCCACCCTGCTTTGGAAGCAAACGTTCACCCTGCTGGTTCATTTCTCACCTGGCTCTTGTGGGGGGAAGACAGAGAATTAGGAGATGACTGAATTTCTCCTCCCTCTTCTCACCCTCCTCTCTCAACTTGTCTCTATTGCTGTTGCAGCTAGGTCTAGCTAGAGCACTTAGGCTGAAAACTGTTAATTGCAGTTCAAAGAGAGCGCTGCAAGTTAATTTCTGCAAATCTCTCGGGAGGTGTTTGGCTCCTTAACTTCTCCGGAAAAAAAATATACACCTAAAAATTATTTCAAAAGCAATTACCTTACCTGCTTTGGGCAAGAAATGATTCTTAAGCATTAAGCCACATTGACAAGGAGGGGGAGGAAAGAACTGAAAGTAATGAAGCTGCACCAGTTAGTTGAGCTTAGGTACAAGAGCTCTGCCTTTGGAGATGCTCCCAAGTATTCTTGGGAAGTTGAGCTAAAATGGATGAAGCAACAAGAAAAATTGCAGCTCCTTCTCCTAACTGCCTTGCAACGTGACAGCTTCAGGAGTTCTTGTTGCGGGGCAAGGCTGGGGAGCAGCTTCCCAAGCAGCCAGCTGTGTAACAGCCAAGCAGACCCTGACAGTGAACAGGGAAGGTTCCAGAGCAGCCCCTGGCCCTTGGAGTGCGTCTGATCCCGGCAGAGGGGCCGGAGGGATTTCAGCCGCCAGAACCCTGGCAAGGCCTCCAGAGCTGGCCCGACTTCCACCAGCATTAGTTACCCAGCCCGCAAAATAGGTGTGAATCCCAGCGCTCCAGCTGGGGACAGAAAAGGTCTTGGAGTTAACCGGCTGCTCCTGAGGGCTGTGGCGAGCGGGTGCCCTGGCGCTCGGTGCCCACGGCTCTCGGTGCTGCTTTGCAGGCCCGGCTCTGCCTCTTCCGCGCCRCGCGCTCCGTCCTCGCTCACGGAATGAAGCTCCTCGGCATCACGCCCGTAACTCGAATGTAACAGAGCTGTACGCGGCGTAGCCTCAAAGACCTTGGCGGAGAAGGTGGCGTTTGTCTTTTCCCAGAGGATACAGACAGGCTGCCGCTGCGAGCTGCTGCTCACACGGCGGAGATGCGCGGGCTGCATCACACGGAGCGGCGTGGGCAGCGCTGCGGGCACCGGTGCCGCCTCCAGCACCCAGGCACTGGCACCCATGTCCTGAGCCATCCTGGACAGCCGGTGTCCTGGATCCGGACACCTGGACACCGTTTTCAGGTCCCTGAAGACGGACCGAGTGAGGCCGCAAACGGGAAGGAGCTCTGAGACTGCAGCCTTGGCGCTTCTCCGTTAAACCGAAGCCTGACGTACACCACGGAAACTGCTTCCAAGCATCACTCTGTAATGCCCAAAAGGACTCGGAGGCGGATAAAAACCAACCAGTCCAATGCCTTGATTTGATTCCTTATTACTAGCGGAGATAAGGAGCACTTACCTGCGTCTTGGCGTTCCTGGGGACAGCTGGGAGGTGTTCGACAAGTAGCACAAAACAAAACCCTCCTCTCAAAGCAGCAGCAGGAGAGTAAGTTGCATTTGCTTTTTAAATGATTTTTTGAAGAGTAATACCACTTTTTCATTATTACTTTAAAAAAAAATCATTTAAAAAACATTCTCTCAGGCTCTTGGTTAGCAAGGGCCACTTCAGATTCCTTCTAGGTAAATGATGCACGAATGTGGTTGAAGTGAAGATGCGCAGCATTTAAAAATATTTCACTTCTGTTTTCATTAATAGTTATTCTTGTTATTAACATTAATGATGTRTATTATCTATACGACCAACTTTTCATGTGATCAACCACTGCAATTGCCACATGGTTTAAAGAAAATGCTGGTAGTAAGTGCTCTTTTTAATAGAATTTCTGGAAGCTTTGGGGCATTTCTGCCCTCCAAGAGCAAGACAAGTTATCAAACACACAGTAAGAACCCCGTTTTCCTCCGGTATGTGCATTATATACAAAGGATGTTCAGTTCCTTCACACTGCYCTCCTTGCCAGCGGGACTTGCCGGCCTCCCACGCGGGTGGAGGTGCCTTTAATAAAACTCTCATCCAGATCCTTGGCACCAAGGTAGCCTCAGCAGCAGCCACAGGAGACTTCCCGTGTGAAACAGAACTAACTTCTGCTTCTATTCTGTCCCACTTACACCATCTCATGACTAGCTTAAGGCGGTATTTTTAAAAAATGCAGGTTTTTTTTTCCAGTCCATTATTCTTCTATTTTCTGTGTCCCTGTGTCATGGACAGTGTCACACGGTAACAAGTCTCTCTTTGGAGTTCTTAGTGTCTGAGGGCTGGATTTTTGTAGTGTCTTGTCGAGGTAATCCATAGAGGTAAATAGAAATACACACCAGGAGAGCACCCAGGAAGAAGGTAAGAGCTGAGAGAGAGACAAAACAGGAAAATTAGTCATTCACACTAATGTGTAACATCTAGAATCAGCGTGAAAACGTCGCAGTGTCTACAGTGCCTCTGCCATTTCGGAGAGTTGCACAGCAGCAAGAATAGGGTCGTAAAATAAAAGCACAAAWTACTTGTTGCAGCTGCAGCTGTGCTCTGCCAGCTCTCCACATTTCCTAATTATATTAAACTCCTGATAAGCGCAATGGGATACAAGTAGCCTGTGCCAAGGCACTCTCTGTGCCTTTACAGCCCTGGCCACACGTGACGAGTGTTATATAAATGAGGCTTCTGCAGAAGGCCCATCTCTTGGTGCTTGATTGGCGTCAGCCAGCAAGAAAATCTGTCTGTTTGGGCGAGCTTTTAAAGCTGGCTCTATTTTTTATCACCTGATCTAAGGTGCTCTTTTTCAGCAGGGCTGTGGGGCTCCTCTCTTCATAGCAACTGTGGTTAAGATTCCCCTCGCTAACGCCCTGTCCRAGGGCTAATTCTTCCACTGTTACACCAAACTATTTGGGGATAGGGGAGAAAAGTCAAACCCAGTGAAGGTCTRAGTGGGATATCAGACAGGGAAGTGAACAGGGAGAAAATCCTTGAAGCTGCAGGACAGCCCAAGCCTAGCAGCTGTTTCCTCTCAACAATATTCCCTGTAGGAATCTTGAGCCCAGTTGCCACTGGAGTGTCTCTGATGGGCACGGCRAAGGGCAGGGCTTGTGCAGCAGTGAGGAGAGGTGCAGCCTGCTCTGGGGAGAGGCCTCCTCAAGCTGCCCCAATCCCACTGCAGGGAAGGAGGTGGGAAGGGCAGGCAGGAGGCGGGAATGGGAGGCAAGAGGTAGGAATGGGCGCCTGCTGGAGCCCCGTGCCCCCTGCGGGCGCTGCCCCCTTGGCACTTACTGATCTGCAGCCCGAAGAGCATCACGGAGGCGATGGTGGAAAGGACGATGGCTGCTGCTGCCGAGAAGCCCTTCATGATGTTATCCGTGTACTTAACGACCACGGACGTGTAGAGGCCGCCCACGCTGGCAAGGACTGGAAAGAGAGAACAGGCCTCAGTGAGTCAGGGAGCTGCAGGTAACGGTGTGATTTGGTTTAGTCCATTAATATATTAAGTCCATTCTCCTTGCCTAGACTATGGAGTCCTACTAGGCAACTGAAAGCAACACAGCAAAGCGAGAGGCCTGGCTGACATGTAGCAGATAAAACGTGACTCAGGTACAGATCRTCTCCTTGCTGCTCAGTGCTGTTTCCACACACCGAAACTGAGCAAATAATTCCAAAGAAAATAATAATTTAACCATCTCTCAAAACAGGGAAAAGCAGTGGGCCAGACTGAGCTTGCAGGTCCTGCCCTTAGACCATGGGTGAATAAAGCAAAGCAACGTAACAAGGGCCTAAAGCCACAACGTACTTACATATGACAAACCAGACGTAGGGGGTGTAGCCGTAGAAAAAGCCTTTCTCGAGAACCTGGGCTCCTTCCGACATGTAGACGCCACATAAAGTCACCACAATCCCAGACAGGTACATCTGAATGTTCCTCACCCACAAGGAAGTATCTGAACTCTTCAAAACCTTCTCAAAATAAACTCCTAGKAAAACAAAAGCCAACAGATGCTTTTCAGCAAAGCTGTTTTCAAGCCACACAGGATCACTGCCTCATCTCGCAGCCTGCTGAGTTTCACACACGTTCATGCAACGCAGAAGGGCCAACATGGGCCACCAAGGCACGTCCTTCAGGACAGAATCACTTCACATGTATCAGAGCAAAATACACTTCCCATGACACCAGAAGTGGGGCCGTTTCCTTTCACGGTTGTTTCAGTTGTCAGTGGCTTCCCTGCTGGAGCAACTTCTCATTTCTGTCTGGAGCTGCCTGGCCCCGGGTTCCAGCCAGGCCTCCCACGGGCCGTTCTGCACCAGGAAAGCCTTTGCCTTGGGGCTCCGGCGCTCCTAGCTCCAGGGTAGAAGCAGCTTTTCAGGGGGGTGTACAGTGATTTCCTCCCCCCCTCCAGGATATTTTAAAGTATCACATGGAAACCTTGACAAATGGGGAAATCTGCTCTGAACAAACAGCATCAACAGTTCTCCCTTCCATCCAGCCACGGGCCCATACAGTTGTCATTTCTTCTTCTGGTCCTATTGAAGTTCACAGAGGTGTTCTGAGCAATTTAATATACATTCATCACGTAGTAATTGTCTTCCCTTACTTTGGAGCACCAGCTCACTCATCCTCAAGTTCTTGCCTCTTGTATAAGCAGGAGAGAGAGACGCTAAGCTGTTTGTGAGAAATGCTTTACACAGAGCAGCAAGGCTTCAACTGACTTGTGGCCCCACATCCCAGACTTGCCTCCTGCAAAGTGTGCTGGGGGATCGTGCATTCTGGGGGGCACACAAACACAAAAGCAACCAAGTGAGGAGCTCAGTTCCTCTCCCCCCATAATGCAAGTTTTTCACGTAGCCACCCACTAGGAGAGAACTATCTGCTGCAAGGCCAATTTTGTAAAATGTGTGTGCGCCGATAAGCTGCACTGCGCGAGTCACTGCAGAGGTTCCCTGTAGCCAGGACCTGGAAGGCTCCTCCCCTTGCAAACAGTCCCAGTTGGCTGCACCACGGAGGAGCAGCAGTCCCCGCTCCCAGGCGGGCGTTTCACAGGTTTATAATTATAATTACCCCAGGTTACCACCAGGTTGATAATTACCCCAGCAGAGGGTAATTATGGGCAGAGGGGATGAAGTCCTTATTTATCTTGCTAATCAGCAGAGATATCTGAGCGCCGTGAAGTGTCCTGTCTTACACATGATGAGTTGTGCCGGGCCTCTCGCTGAGCTGCTTACTGCATCAACACTTACCTGCAAACCCTGAGCATAGCACAGCAACAGCAATTGCTCCAAACCCCAGCCATGGATTCTGCTCCACCTGCAACAGCAAAGCAAGAGGTGTGTTTAAAGCCCGCAGCACCTCAGTAATTCATCACCACCACTTCYGAGCTGCTCGGAGGGGCCGACAGCGACAAGCCCCTCGTTAGGCGACAGCCCCCGTTGCTCCAGGCCGCTCCGCTCCTGCTGCCGTGATGCAGCCACCAAAGGACACTTGTTTCCTTCCTGGGCTTAGGCTGGTGTCTCCAGCACTCTGCCCATACCACGCAGCTGCTGCAGCCCCATCCCTCATTCCATGAGTGCCTCCATCCCAAATTTTCTGCTCCAGCAACTGTGGCATTACCAGGGCCGACTGCTGGAAAGAGCATCCCACTCAGACACCCCTGTGATGTTCGTTGCCATCAGAGCGGTTAGGGTGACTGGGTGATTTTACACTCATTGTGGCAACGCGTGGCCTTTCCAACAAGGGACACGAGAGCAAGACCACGTGCCTGGCTGAGCTGGCGCATGGCAGACCTGAAAGCAGAAGATCAAGCTCATGTTTCTGCTGTAACTGAGTGGCTGGGAATAGGAGATGGGCACTGCTGTGTGCAAYGTGAGAGGCACCACGTTACTCTCCAGCTACTGTCAGGTGAAATACTGKGAGGTGGCTCCATCTCTGTCACAAAGCGGGGAACCGCAGAGCCTCCCCTGCACCCTGGGCAGGCTCCCACTTACCTGCACCTTGGTAGCGAGGGCCGGCTTCCACTGCACGAGCGTGACGCCGCCGCAGAGCATGAACACGGCGAACCACTGCAGCTTGCTCAGGGAGCGGCTCAGCATGAGCACCGTGCACAGGGCCGTGCACGGGATCTTCAGCTGGTACGTCACCTGCGGGAAAGGCCAGAGCGCCCAACTCAGTTCCTCCCACGTGAGGAAACAGCGGCTTCAGCTACAGAATCATCAATACAATATTACACTCYGTTTCCCCACAAACCCTTCGTTTTCTTTGCCAGTGTGAATTTTCAACCTCCAGCAGCTCGGGAAACCAGCGCACCGCGACACGCTYGGCACACGAAGCACCACCTGGCTTCTACCCCCGGGCCGGAGAGGCAGCTCCGTGCTGGGCACACGAAGCCGGGAAGAGAAACAGACTCACAGACGAGTTACACGAAAAGGGGCCCTTACCTGGTAGACGGCTGCGTCCAAGTTGCTCAGAGCCACAAAGGCCATGTTGTTTTGCAGCGCGTACACCAAAGACGGAACGCTTAATTTGAGCAATTCCTTAGGGCTTCCCAGCACATTTTCTTTTAAAGATGTCATTAACCTTGCGAGACTTCCAGTTTCTCTGCAAAATAGAATGCTAATGTAATGGGAGACACTCTTCCCCTGGTATCTGAAAACCAAAAAGAAGCCAGTGAATCCTTTGGGAAGGCTGAATTGTTTTTTCTTAATAATCAGTTATACCTTAGGCTGATTAAAAGAAAAATTAACTGGGGGGGGGGAAAAAAAAAAAGAAGCTCTCAACAAGTAAAATCCACCAAAAGAGGAAAAAAGGCATTCTGGAATTGGGATTTTAGATGCATAGAGCAACCACAGACATTGCAAACAGGGGACCAAGTACACAGCGAGGGAACAGGAGGTTGCCGCTTGTTTTCTTTTCCCCCCGATATCCGTGCCCTGCGTTCTGTGTTTGCCACTTAACCCTGCCTGGCCCTGGACGTGGGTGTCCTGTGC